TTATTTTTACGATTTAGTTTTAATCCAAATTATGCGTGTGCTAAGTGAGTGAACATCAAAGATCACACAACAGAATTGCGCTCTCGCTCTCTCTCTACCGTTAAGTAACTTGTGCATTGTTTTACTTATTTGTTTTTGACATATCCGACCGAACTACAAACTTTCCAGTGATGTCTGTGAGAAAGGGATATTCACTCGACAAGCTCACGCATCTGCGCCGCCACGCGCTCAATCCACTCAGTGTGCTTTGTTTATCAGCTCGTGCACATCAGCTATACAGGTGTTAATACTGAATGTTTAACGTTATATTCATTGCATACATATACTTCGTAGTAGACATCCTTAACTCCTTTCTGCTGTCTGTTGTTCTGTTGTCGGTGTTTCTTTGTTTGAATATGGCACTTATCACATGCTGTGTGGTATCGGCGTTTGGTATCGGGGCATTTTAACGAGTATGAGTACAAGTACAGGAGCTCAGTATCGGGCCCGATACCGATACCAGTATCGGTATCGGTGCATCCCTAGTTTTGGGAAAATAAAAATCCTTCTGAGACTGAACAAAATGTGTTATACCTGCTCTCTATGCTGTCTATGCCACTCAAGAAATGTGTGTATTTGTCCTTTGTCTGAGATCGGGTCATGATCACTGCAGTTGCTGTTGTATCAAACTAAACAAAAAACAAATCCAGTGTGTGCAGAGGTCTCCATCTTAAAGGGTCATCAGATGCCCATTTTCCACAAATTGATATGATTCTTTAGGGTCTTAATGAAAAGTCTATAACATACTTTGTTTAAAATTTCTCAATGGTAGTGTAAAACAACACCCTTTTTACCCTTTCTAAACAGCTCTGAGTCTGCACACAGCAACCCATTGTAGTGCATGTTTCTTTAAATGCTAATGAGCTCTGCTCACCCCGCCCCTCTCTACGAGCCGTTCTCATGAGATTGTCATGAGATTTTCTCATGAGAAAAATCTGGGTGTTATATTAAATAGCAACTTGTCTTTTGAAAATCATATTTCCCATGTTACAAAAACAGCATTCAAAGTTATTTTCCACATACTGTACATTACTGTTTCTCCTCTATGCCCCACCTTTTTGAAACGTGTCGATTTTTACAAAGCTCATCGGTCTGAAAAAGCGAGGTGTGCTGTGATTGGCCGAATACCTCAAGCGTGTGACGGAAATGTTACGCCCCTCACCATACTGTTGATGCCGTGTCCCGGCCAGAGCGACGAGACAAAAACATTAAAACCCATTATAAACGAGGCATTTGTTGCATCCAGTGGGGACATAATTACTGATTATAATGACTTATACAGTCTTTTTACGCATTGTATCGCGCCGCGTAAACATAAAACCCTGTCTGAATTTGTGATCAGAGAAATGACAAAAAAACAAGTGCTACTCCACACTGCCCAAAACTTGCGTTTGAATCACCAGTGGCAAATCCTTTAAATGAAAACTTACTTACGTGAGTCAGAACTGTCGGCATTTTAGTCTAACGTTACTCTCCCAGGATCAGTAAACAGTCCTCCATAAAATGTGCTGCACACATCTGGATGTTTGGGTTAAACTGTTCTGGAACAGTGTTGTAAATACAACTTAACCACTGATTTGTAGTCGTGTCCTCTTTTGGAAGACCAAACAAAGTAGTTTTGCTTTCACAACGAAAAACACAGCGGCCTAGCGGAAGCCCCGACTTAGCGTGAGCTGAGGCCGGGCTAGAGTGAGCAGAGGCGGCGGGGTTGAGAACGGCGCAGCCGGCGGATCCGACGAAGGAGCGTCAAGCACATGTGACGACCCCGGGCTTTGTCCATGGTGAAAGCAGATCCGCAGCACTAAGTTGATGTATTCCCTCAGCGACCAGCACGGATCAGCTTTAGGCATGATGAAGCGGATATCGTCCTCTTTTGGAAGACCAGACAAAGTAGTTTCGCGTTCACAACGAAGCACACAGCGTCTTCAGGACATGGAGGAAAGCGGCAACAATACTACAGTGAGAATAAAAGTTAAGCTTTCTTTCTTTGCGTGAACATTTGGGTGGCGTTATGCAAATCTTCCCACATAGTGAGGTAGATATGTGGGGGCATGTTAGAACGAGTCGTTTTAGGTAGGTGTGGCTGACTCTTAACTTTTATAAAGAATATCCCTTTGGATTTGAGACTTTAGTCTTTGCAACTTTACAGATCTTCTTTATGCACCAAGAGCTTGTAACACTCCAAAGAGAAAGGAAAAATTGAAATCGCATCATATGACCCCCTTTAAGAGACATTCTTGTCTACAACCGCTCCGGCGTCGAAACAATGGCGGGCTGATGACAGCTCACTCAGGGCGGGTCTAAGTTAAAACGCTAGTGTCAATCAACAATCGTGGGAGCGGCCTGGGTCTGTGTGACATCACACAGCCAAGAAACGGTTTGATATGAAAAAGGGGATATTATTTATAGGGATAAATAAAAAAACACTGAGTGGATTTTTTAATCATTATAGGGTGGATGTGTACAAACACTGCCCACACACATTTCAGTTCAAACAATACGTAAAAGTGAATTTTGCAGCCGATGACCCCTTTAATACTGTAACAGCTGTGTGTTTGCATTTCCAGTTGAGATTTAGCCCGAGTGCTTGAAATCTAACCACATTTTTATACATAATAAATGCATGTCTTGTAGGTTGGTTTGATTTAATACAATATAGTTAATTTATTTATAGATTATTATAACCTGTACACATAAAGAATTTTGGGCCAGGAGGCAACTTCTAAAATCACACTCTGAATTGTGTTAGCAGTACCTGAGGTCTGCCAGCTCTCCCAATCATCTGTAAAAGGTCAGCTTCACTGTACTCTTCACATGCACCACCGACATAGTGCAATGTGGATTTGATTACCACAAGGTGGGCTGGCAGATTCACACCCATAGCAAGGGTGCTGGTTGTAACTGAAAAAGGGGGGTTTTCCAATTTTTTCATATGCTTTTTATAATACATTATGTACTGAATAATCAAAACTAAATGAGTGAAAACATATTTGCAGAACTTACATAACACTGGCAAGTCACCCACAGTAAATGCTTCTTCAATCAATTTCCTGTCTGACACATCCATGCCAGCATGATGATATCCAATGCCACAAATAAATAGATCTGGAAGAGGTATACAAAAAAATGCTTAGTATACCTTTAAAAAAACAGTGACCAATGTATTCATGAATGTCAAACAGCATAAGTAATTAACGTACACACCTCTGAGTTTTGCATCAAGCAGAGAGTTTGCATATTTCATCAGTCTATGAAAGAGTTAATGAGTTATACTAAGAGATGTCCACATAAAGAGTAATCTTATAAATAAAGTTCAGATCTTGCAAAGCATCTGCATCTTTGGTAGTTCAACCACAACATGCTATGTATGTATATGTATATATATATATATATATATACTGTATATGTACATATACATTCATACATACAGTCTATGTAATGAGACTATAGTACCTTTGTTTGTGTTCGAGGCTCATAATGAATCTGGCATCCTTGGCAAGCACAGAAGCAGACTGTTGAACTCCTTTTCTCGTGGAGCAAAACTGTTAAATTCAGACAAATGTATTGCATAAATTTTAAAATACACAACCCAACACATTTGCATTCACAAAGATTCACTTACCACAAGGGTTGGTTTTTGATCAGAGTAGGTCTGAATAACGTTGGCCATTTTGTAGTTGAGAGAAAGATCAAACTTGAATTCATTCTGATTACTTCCACACGGGAACCCAAGCACCACTTTCCTCAGTTTCACAGGCCTATGAGTCTCATCCATCTCCAAACAAGTGGCAGGCCCTGACTCATCCGAAAGCCATTCAGATACCTTTAAAACGGTAAAGAACAGCACAGGAATAATCTAAATGAAGCTGAAAAGAGATTCATCTCTTTGGTACTTCCTCAAACAACTTACGTCCTGAATGTTTGGGATGGTAGCTGAGACAGCCACAAATCTCGTTGATGCTTTTGATTCTGGATTTACAGCCAGTTGATACGAGTGCATGGTTTTCATTCTGCTGACCACAACTTCAAGAGTTGCTCCACGGGTTTTGTCTTTGACCACATGTATCTAGAGAGGGTATGTAGACAAAAATGTCATTCATTAACGAAACACTGCCATCTGATTTCAAATACTAAATCAGAAATAAATAAATCAGACCTCATCAATGAGGAAGAGACTAACAGATGGCAATAAGCAGTTATCTTTCCACCTCCTTGTCATGCTGTCCCATTTTTCCTTTGAAAGAGAAAAAACTTTAAAAGACTTGAAAACTTTAAAAGACTTAAAAAAGACTTGTTGGAAAGACGTTTTATGTTTAGACTCTACCATATGTGGCAACTTACAGGAGTTGTAAAAATCAGATGAGCATCCTGGATTTCAAAAATGTCATCAATCTCTGTGTCTCCAGTTAACTCTTTGCAGTTTAGTCCAAGGGGTCCAAACTTCTGTTTCCAGTTTTCAAAACGCTGACTGCAAAGAGCCTTAATTGGTGCCACTGAAGCATAAACCAAAAAATGTCAAACAGTATTTGTTATTAGTGAATGAAAAGTCTCAAATAAAAAATGCTTAGTTATTAAGCTCAAATAATAATTGCTAGAATTGTAACTCACTGTACACAGCTCTGACATTGTGCCAGGCGTCTGAAGCCTCAATCAGTAGTCGAACAATGGCCAGCTCAAAGAGCACAGTCTTCCCAGAGCCCGTGGGAGCACAGGCAACAAAATTTTTATTTGTGTACAGAACCTGAAATAGAGCAATAATCTGCTGTACACTGTGTTTATGAACTTTACATTAAATAGATATAAATGCTAGAGATTTACATCATCCAGTGCTTGGGACTGCACATAGTTGAAGTAAGGGAATTCTTTAAACACACTTCTGAATTTAGCAGCTTACACATATTTCAAGGAAAACAATGAATGTGACAATAAATGCATCATTCAGTCCAAAATGTACATTGAACAACTTAAGAAATAATTTAAAGTCCCCATGAGTTCAGATATTTTCTTTCTAATATGATATATTTCCTTCTAAAACAGGATTTGGGTAGGATGTTTTGTACAATATAATTTTCTATATTCCCAGAAGATAATCTTTCTAATGAGAATATTGCCCAAAAGTGAATTTTGTCAGCGTTTAGAATACAATAGCATATACCAGGGGTGGCGAACGTCGGTCCTGGAGAGCCGCAACCCTCAATCGTTTTTCTCTTAAAACCCTAATCAAACACACCTGAACAAGCTAATCAAGGCCTGAAGGGTTACTAGGAAGCTACAGGCAGGTGAGTTTTAATTAGGGTTGGAGCTGAGCTCTGCAGGACTGCGGCTCTCCAGGACCGGAGTTCGCCACCCCTGGCATATACCATAGATTAGATCAACACTAATAAACACCACAAAGCCACAAAACTCTTATTATTTCGATTTCATGAGGTCTTTAATTATATTCAAATGTATTTCTGATCAGCTGGGCTAAATGAAAGAGGATACGAATTTCAGAGACTGGACGTAGTGTTCCTTTTCCAGATGACCCTTGAAAAACAATATCAATATTAACATGCCAAATATTCAGATCAACACTATTTGTTCTCTATGTATGGAAATTGTTACAGTTTTTGCACATGCCCTAAAAATGGCATATTTTACTCTATCATGCTGGGAACACACTGCATGATTTTCAAAGTTGCTGTTCTTCTCACACCACACGATTGTCTGGGGTACCATTTAGCTGCTGTTGAGTGCACACTACACAACAAATCGTCGACAGGAGGTCAGACATCACATTGAGGGTAAGATGGGTCACTCACATGCACGAGCACCAATTTGCCATTGATTTTGGGCATTTGAGTGAAAATCTGGGCTAAAATCATGCAGTAGGTACCCGGCAGTAAAAAGTACAGAGATTTAACTTTTTAACAGGTAGAATAGCTGGTTAAATTTGTGCCAACTTGGACTAACTGTATATCATGACATTCCAGTTAACTAATAGTGCTACAGTATTATATTACCTTCAAATTCTGCAGGTTTGAAACCAAAATGGAGATTATGGTTTGTTTTTGAAAGTACATCACATGTTTGTTCTGTTTGGCCAAAGTCAATAAAGGGACTACAGGTAGCAACAACATGTGTAGTCTGTGGACCGGTGGTTGTCATGGCAACCTGACCAAGGAAACCGGTGTCATTTGTTGTTGACATCATCTGATTTGGGATACCATCTTCATCATTCCCTGAGATCCTTCTTGTGGGAGCTCTGAACAACCTAGTTTTACAATAGAATCCAGTCTGTTTACCCACTTATTGTTCTACTGCCAATATCCATTTCAAACACAAAGAACTGCTTGTTACATCAGCAAATTTTGTTAACTCAATCAAGATGTAGCAAACCGTACTGAGTCTTGAAGGGAGGAGCACTGGGAGTAGGTAAAGGCCTTGCTTCCACAAAACCCATCCGGTCAACAGCTTGATCTCTTTCTCTAGAAGGTTCATGGGTCCACAAAACAGATTCCTCCAGATCATGTGATTTCACAGTCTGCCACTGGACACTTGCGATGGGATTGTGAATAGGTTTTTGTGCAGGTGGCAGAAATTTCTTTGATCTCTGAGAGAAACCTTCATAAATGAGAAATGAAATAAAAAGTAATGCTCCTCCTGTAAATTCATGCAATATACACATGTAGCAATAAATGTACACACACACACATCACAAATACATTTTAAAAACATTTTTAATTAAAGACTTATTATAAAAATAAAACTTTTCAACCTATCAATCTTGATGTTGATTAAAAAAATGGATATTATATGCTGCAACTACCCAAACCTATAATCTTATTTGAGCTTAAATCCAAACAGGACTCACTAAGTGAGAAAAGGTGTGCTGCCTCTCCCTGGATGTCTTGTGTTGCAGGTATTTGTGATAATGAGGGTGGAGCATCAAATGTCCAGGAGCCCTGTCCCTGACATAATGGTTTCCTAAACAGAGTCATAAAAATAAACAGTTTCTCGATTTATTCATTCTTAGATATCTGGCGTGTCTCTGAACAGGTATCATGTGTAAAGGCCTAACGTTACTCACACTTTATGAATTACTGGCCCGTCATAAAACAGGTTATCCACTGACGAAACGCCTTCTTCTGAGTCTAACATCTTGTGTTTGCCACCGACATCCTGAAAGAACAACTGTGATATAGAACATTAAAATATGAAGCTGTTATTAGGCATTACAACATATTGAAGTAACGCAAGCTATTTACTGTAAGTTACGTTACTGTGAACCCTCGAGTTTAGCTTTTAGCCACTGGCTATCGTGTCTCTGAGGTAAAATAATTAGCTGAGCGCGTAAGGTAAGCGGCGGAATGTCTGTTGGCAAAAATAGTGAAGTGACTATTTTTATCGTTTTATCTAACAAAACTGTGTTTGTGAGGAATACTTCGTAACTGGCGCTCTCTTGAAGGCGGCAAGTGAGCCCGCGAGCTGTGAAATGTGTGAATCGCGCGCAAGGTCACGCGGTCAGCATCACAGTATTAAACACTGGTATTTTATTATAGAAAACAGATCATATCTGCTGAAATGCTCATTCCATTCCATTTCACGGATTTAAAGAACAGAAAGCCACAATATTATAATTAAATTCATAAATACAACGCCTTTACATTAGTATGATACCGATAGCTGACTAGACGTATTTTTGTGGAAAAACACCTTTGATGGAATTTGTTGCGTTTCTCCAGTTCAAACTTGATGTATATATGCATTCATCATGACTTAACACAAAATGTTTAGCTGTGATATACCGTGCTATCAACGTTATTTTGTTCCTAATAATTGGTTGAGAGAGCCATTGCCATTCTTTCTGCTTATCCTCTTCTGTTCACTTTACCGTCAGTACTTCTACTTGCCACCTATTTGGAATAGTCCACTTTTTGTTTGGGGGGCATTATTTACATGACTCATACAAATAATTAATTTTCTCCCGATTAAATGTATCCAACATGTTTATGTTGTTTATGATTGTATCATAAATCCGTAGTTGCCAGTGGGTAATCACAATATTAACATTATTTTTAATACATTTTATCAAGTTTTTGGAGTCCCCCTCGTTGAGGCGCAGTGTCTTTGTCTGTGGACTATCGAGCAAATATGGCGGCTTCGCAATAGATGGAAAGCTTGAGCGAGCAAAAATGAAATGATTTCACTTCAGTGTTACTGTCCACAATCGCAGCTGCAGAAAGGTAGGCTAAAATGCATTTGGCAACAACATTAAAAGGTGAAACCATCAAAGTGCCCCCAATATTTTGATAGGGGCAAGTGGTTTTAAGCTTGATGGTGAACATAATAGGGCTTGACTGCTACCTTGCTAGCACACTCTCATAGTATGTAGTAACAGCAATGCCTAAACAGAAATATGTCAGTGATATATGTAAGTTATTAATGCACGTAAATCTTGATCTTTACTGCATCTCTGAATTATTAAAAATGACTGTTTATGAGTACATTTGTTGCAGGGTTGAATGCATGTTATGTTTTGTGAACCACTAATTATAATATAGAACTTGATCCACAAAGATATAATGTGTTTTTTAAGAACTTGAATCACAACAATAATACCATGACAACTGTTAATGCCCTTAAACGTCTTGTTTATACATCCAGACATAAATGTTTTACTAAAGGTACTTTTCTCGGAGCATGTGATTTACATATCATTATCATATGAAGAGATTACTCATGCTATCTGTTGGTAATTATTTGTACATTGTTGTCTGTAGTTTCATTTATTTATTTATTGTACAATGCACATAAACGATCTGAATTCCTTCTCATATTTTTATGCATGTACTTGGGATCTCGGTTTCTGCTCAGTATCAAGTGTAATGTATAATGCATATTCTTTAGTGTTGTTATATTGTATTACTGTCTAAAACACTGTCTAGTTTTGTGTCATTTCCACTTTCACTTGTGTAAGCATGCAAGACCAACCAGTTGGGGGTGCTTACCATATTGCATGTAGAATAGGGATTGATTGGCTTACTAACTTTATACATGTTGAAAATTACTTTGAATATTGATAACATTGTTAATCAGCTGTCGAATGTAGCATGCATTGATGTTGTTAACCAGCTATAGTAATGAGCAGCCATAATTAACCACATTAATAATTGTATTTTTTATTAATATAATTTTTTCAGTAACCTGGTGGTGCACTTATATTTTACCAATTAAAACATAAAAAAACTAATATATTACTGTTATAGCATTTAATTATTTACTGTATAAATATTACCCATGAACAAAACCATTGTATGTACAAACATGAATGGCAAAACCGTCTTTGTGACCCATGCACTATTAAGTCCATAAAGTGTAGGAAATATTTAAATTTAATTGAATTTTGCGGTTGCAAATATGCATGTTCATGCATGGATTTTTAAAAATAAATACATCAATATATACTTATTCTATTTTTTTATTAGGGGTATTTGTTAGGCACAAAGCAGTGTTTATATAATTTACAGTTTCCAAATAACTTCACAACTAGCCACAGTAATATAGAATACAGACTTAAAAAAATACTTACAATACTTACGTAAATACAAAGTAAAAACAGTGAAAATAACTACATCTTACCATAATTGCCGTATACAATTAATTTTGCGGTTGCAAATATGCATGTTCATGCATGGATTTTAAAAAATAAATACATCAATATATACTTATTCTATTTTTTTATTAGGGGTATTTGTTAGGCACAAAGCAGTGTTTATATAATTTACAGTTTCCAAATAACTTCACAACTAGCCACAGTAATATAGAATACAGACTTCAAAAAATACTTACGTAAATACAAAGTAAAAACAGTGAAAATAACTACATCTTACCATAATTGCCGTATACAATAGTGTTGTTTGAAGCTGCCATCATTTCAACAGAATCTGGCCTTATTAAAGGGGTCATATGATGCTAAAAAGAACATTATTTTGTGCATTTTAAGGTTCAAAAAACACATTATTTTCCACATACTGTACATTATTGTTTCTCCTCTATGCCCCGCCTTTCTGAAACGCGTAGATTTTTACAAAGCCATCGGTCTGAAAAGCGAGGTGTGCTCTGATTAGCCAGCTATCCAGTGCGTTGTGATTGGCCGAATACCTCAAGCGCGTGACGGAAATGTTACGCCCCTCACCATACTGTGATGATGCCCTGTCAGACTGGAGCGACGAGACAAAAACATTAAAACCCATTATAACCGAGACATTTGTTGCATCCAGTGGGGACATAATTACGGATTATAATGATTTATACTGTCTTTTTACGCATTGCATTGCGCCGCGTAAACATAAACCCATGTCTGCATTTGTGATCGGAGAAATGACAAACAACAAGTGCTACTCTACACTGCTCAAAACTCGCGTTTGAATCGTCAGTGACAAATTCTTTAAATATAAAAAATGTACTTACAGTCTGTGAGTCAGAACAGCCGGCATTGTAGTCTACTCTACCAGGATCAGGAAACAGTCCTCCATAAAATGCGCTGCACACATCTGAATATTTGGGTTGAACTGTTCTGGAACAGTGTTGTAAATACAACTTAACCACTGATTTCTAGTCGTGTCCTCTTTTGGAAGGCCAAACAAAGTAGTTTCGCTTTCACAACGAAACACACAATGGGCTAGAGTGAGCGGAGGGCGGCTTGATTGAGCGGAGGCGGGCGGGCTTGAGAATGGCATGTCCGGCGGGCTTGCGGCAACCACATGTGACAACCCCGGGCTGGACTCCGCTTCGTCCACGGTGAAAGCCGATCCGGCGATCCACAGCGC